CGTGAGGCAGCTCCTGCTCTCAGTGTGTCCAGGGCTCCTGGTGCTCTGGGGTGGTTATAAAATAACTGAACTGAATGGGGGGGAGGGGAGCCGGCGTGTTCCCCGGTAGCACCACGCTGGGAAAGGAGCCAGCCCAGCCACAGCTCCGTTCCCAACCCCAGCGCCAGGCTCCTGTGGGGGGCAGAGGAGGCAAGAGGGTGCCAGGTGCCTGCCCTGCCATGGCCTGATGCAGCCAGAACAGGGAGATGCCCAGGTGGGTGCGAAGGGGATTGTCAACTAGTCCTGAACATCCTTAAATTGGACACCACGAAGCAGGCTGAGGGGGGTATACTAGCTCTCCGGGTGCCCCTTGCTGGTGCCTAAGAACAGGTCGTTACAGCCCTTTGGAAGGGACTAGCTCAGAGCCCATTAACGGGTGGCTCGTGTGGGTTATCCAGCCAGGCTGGCAGGGGGCGGGAGGTGGATTCACACTGCAGCAGATCCTGACACCCTGTCTCCTTGCTACAGTGGAATCATTCCTGTGGACAAGCCCCAGCACAGCTGTAATTCTTACCACCACGTCTGCAGGGGAGAAAGTGACGAGCGAAGAGTTATTTACTCCTTCCCAGAGCACAAGAACAAGGGGTCGTGAAGGGAAATGAACAGGCAGCTGGTTTAAAAAAACCCAAAGAAGTTTTTCTTCACACTAACACACAGTCAACCTGTGGAACTCCTCGCCAGAGGATCTGGTGAAGGAAAAGACCATATCAGGGTTCCAAAAAGAGCTAGATACATTCACAGTCCATCAATGGCTATGCAATTGGGTTGCGGCGCCCCCTGGTTGAATGTGTGTGCACTCTCTGCTGAAGGAGGGTTTCTGGGGCTCAGCCGAGTCACACAATCTGTGTGCCAAAGAAACAACCCCCTTCCGGGCCACACAGCAAACAGGGCCTCTCCCTGCGCCCTTGGTAGTGTCCCTCCGTCTGCTCCCTCCCTGGCCCAGAGCGGTGCCCCCGGTGGCAGCGTCGTAAGCCGGGACACAGCCTGGCCTGCAACAGGCTCCCTGCCAGGAGCTGTCCATGGTACCTGCTCCAAAGAGAAACTAACTTTTATATGGCCTTCCTGGCTCCTGATTGGCTGCTGCCCCTGCAGCTGCTCTAGCCTGCTTGGAGGACCTCTCTGCTGCCTTTTCTCAGTGGCAGAACACAAGTCTCCAGCAGGGGGCCTCAGAGCCTGGTCCATCCCATCGCAGCTATTAGCCGGGCTGGGAGGGGCGGGTGTCCCTGGCCTCTCCTGGGCAGAAGCTGGCAATGGGGTTATCCAGCCACCTGTCTGCAAACCTGCCTACGTATTCATTCCCCACCACGCCCTCCCGCCTCTGCGCACACTCAGGACACTTTCCCAGCACAGTCCCCAGTGGGTTTATTCAGTGGGTTAACGTGGCCGTGACCCCAAGTTTAGCCCTAATCCCCGTCACCACCCCCTGCGCTCCGCACACAAACCCTCTGACCTCATCCTGGCTGACACAATCTGGGGGGCAGTTTAGGCCTCGGCTCCTCTTCACCCTCCTGAATTGTGGCTCAGAATCAAACACAGGATCCCAGCAGCCGCACAAGGAGGTAAAATCCCCTCCCTGCCCCGCCCGAGGGTCCCTCCCAGCCTCCCATTTTCTGTTTTGCTCTTTTCTATGGCACAAAGACGGGACGAAGCAGACGTTCTTCTCCAAGCAATGTCTCAGCGGCTATAGCAGTGACATAAAAGGCCCCTTCTCTTTCACTGTGGGGAAGGACCAGTACGTGAGGATCAACGTCCTACAATGCAACACAGATTTGTGCAACTCGGCCCCACCTCAAGGTACGTTGTGGGTCTGTTTGATTTGTCCCTATTTCAGGCAACGGCCACATCAACGATTGCAGGGTGTGAGCTGGGTGTGACTCTAGCTCTCCGTGTGCCCCGGCCGATGCACATGGGCCAGCGGGAGGAGCACTTTGGAAGGGCATTCGCTCAAAGCACAGGAATAAACAGCTCCCACATGCCAACAGGTTGCATATGGACAGCAAGGTCATTGGACCGGCACTGGGAAGAGTCACACCCAGCAGCTCCGCACACCCCATCTCCCTTGCTACAGTCGGACTGTTCATGTGGACAAGCCCCAGCACAATTGTATTTGTTCCTGTTTCTCCCCGTTATTGCCCCAAAGTCCATTTCCTCACATGGCATTTCTGTCTCCAGTGAAATCCTTGAAGCTGGCGGGAGTCCAGGCGGGGGTAGAACAGTCGGGGCCCGTCTCAATCAGATGGGTGGGGGTTGCATGCGAAGGAGGGAGCAGCCACCGGGACAGGCTCAAATCTAAACTTCCTGGCCCCTATCGGCTCCCCCTTCACACTCGCCGGGATCCAGAACTGAGCCAGTGCGGCCGTCGCCGACTGTTGTGTCCCAGACAGACGGAGAAATGCCCCCGGCTGCAGGGAGGGGCCTGCACATGCTGGGCGAGGCAGGGCCCAGCCCCCAGCTGGGACGAGGTTTCACCCACCCGGTAACCGTCTCTCTGTCTTTGTTCTCAGTGACCCCAGACACCACCCCGAATGGGCTGCAGTGCCCAACCTGCTTTGCTCTGAACTTTGCTGCCTGCAACAGCCAGATCACCCCCTGCACAGGGCAGGAGACCTATTGCCTGAATTACTTTGGCTTTCTGACCCAAGGTAAATTCTTCCCGCTGGCCGCAGGGCGAGGGCTCCCTGGGAATGTCCCACCCCAGGAGCTCCCCGAGAGCTGGTGGGAACCGGAGTCTGTGCGGAGCCTTCGGCGGGTGGGGCCGCCAAGAGGGGTTCTGGCTGGAGGGAAGGAGAGAGGAATTGGGATGTTTCCCTCCCCACCGAACACCCCGCTCCAGGGCTGATGGCAGCGGGGTACTTGCCAGGGGAGGGTTGTGATGTCAGGGATCCAGAGCTGGGGCGTGAACTCAGGAGTCTTGGCTCCCACCACCCACTGCTCTAACCACTAGGCCCCACCCTCTTGATGTCTAAGGTGGAGCTAAGCTGCTGTTGCTCCGTGGGGCAGCTCTTGCTCTCAGTGTGGCCCAGGGTTGCCAGCGCTCTGGGGAGTTTATAAAATAACTGAACCGAGCGGGGGGCTACCTGGGACAGAGGAGCCAGCGTGTTTCCCGGTGGCACCGCGCTGGGGAAGGAGCCTTCCCGGCCACAGAGGCAGAGGGGGAGCCGCCGGCTGGTGGGGACAGAGCGGGAGAAGAGGGGTGGAGAAGGACCTGGAGCAACTCGCCCCTAAGAACAGGCTGATTTCCCCAACAGGTGCATCTCGTTCCCCATTTCAAGCACAGGGCTGCGCGTCGACGTCTGCACAGGAGATAAAACCCGGACGCAACCTGACTGTGGCAGCCTACACCTTTCAGTTTTATTGGGGAAGCTCTGGTCCAGCACAACCAATACCCACCAGTCCCAGCATCCCATCTACAGCCACCACGACACCTCCCCGCTCTGGAACCGCCCGGGCTGCAAACGCCACCCTTACTGCCACAAAGACCAGCAAACCCACCATGCACTCTGCAGATACAAGCACCACCAAGGGAGGGAGCCCGGCTCTGGGGACAGTCCCCTTCGCCCTCTACCTGCCCGGCCTCATGGGGCTGCTGCTGGTGAAGCTGCTCTCCTGACCCCCCGCCCTGGCTGGGCCCCACAGCGCCTGGTGCCTGTAAATCAAGCCCGAAGTCCCAGCTGCACCCCCCGTGGCCCCGCCGGGCTGCTGGGGTGACACAAGGGGCCGTGGCATCCCCAACCCCGCCCAGCGGGCGTCTATCCCGGAACCTCCCCGCGGGCTGGGGGCTCTCTGGGCCGGAGCGAATCCTCGGAATAAATGGAAACCCCAAAGAAAAGCCCTGGCTGTGGTGTCGTGCTCAGGCTGCCCACGCGGGTCCTGCCCGCAGGCGGCTGGCGTGTGCCCGGCTCTCTGGGCGAGGGCGCACGGACACAGTCGGCGTTAGAC